TAGACAGTTTAATTCTGATAAGACTCTCAAATCTATAAGTGTCTTATAGTATTTTCTAATAGTAAATGTTCACTCACTGGCATTGGGAGGCTGGCACTTACTTTTTCTTCAGTCCGGGATGGCTCTCTGTAGTGTCTGTGGCATCAGGCAATGGGGTCTCCTCCAGCTCCTCCCCCTTCACAGTCACGGGTGGCCCACAGGTCAGCTGACCGCTAGCTCCTTCCCACTGCTGCGTTGGCCATATTGGAGGGACTGAGCAGCCGTGCCGCAGAGACCCCCAGGAGGGGCGCAGGTTCCAGACGAGAGGCAGCTGAGCTGCCGCATCTGTGTTGCATTGTGCCCCAGCTCCACATATTACTGTACATGCGGCCCCTGCCCACCGGGCAAATGTCTGGTGAGCCCTATGGCCAGTCTGGGCCTGCTGCCCAATAATCAATTATGCATGCTAAAATGAATATGTAACTGTTATGGATATTACTGCACTGCTATTGGTAAATGACAGTAAATAAATACTGGAATGTGCATTAACCACTTGCCCTCCTGAGGATTTACCCCCCCTTCCTGACCAGGCCATTTTTTGCATCACAGCGCTGCGTTACTTTAACTAACAATTGCACGATCATGCAACACTGCACCCAAATTAAATTTACATCCTTTTTTCCCCACAAATTGAGCTTTCTTTCGGTGGTATTTGATCGCCTCTGCATTTTTTTGGGGTTTTTTTGCGCTATATAAATGTAAAAGCGACACTTTTGAGAAAAAAAAAATAATTTTTACTTTTTGCTATTAAACATGTCCAGTAAAAAAAAACAAATGTCTTCAAATTTAGGCCAAAATGTATTCTGCTACATGTCTTTGCTAAAAAAAAAAAAAACAATACGTGTAAATTAATTGGTTTATGTGACAGTTATAGCATTTACAAATGGCGGTATAGATACTTGAATTTTTTTTTTACTTTTACAAGTAATGGCGGTGATCAGCAACCTATATCGAACTGCGGCAGGCATTCTGACACTGGGGGGGAACTGACTTGGTGTCACTGACATCCCCAGTGACACCAATACAGTGATCAGCACTAAAAAAGAAAGCACTGCCAGTGTACGAATGGCAATGGACAGGAAGGGGTTAGCATGTAGGGCGATCAAAGGATTAACTGTGTGCTGTTTAACAGTAAGCTCTGTGTGTGTTTCACTGTAATCACACTGCTTTGGATGGCTGTGCAGTACACAGTCATCCAAAGCAGTGTGCACAAGCTGACAGGGAGAACTGTATTGTTTATATACAGTTCTCCCCGTCGGAGATCCTCGGCAATCACCTGTCGGGACCCTGTGATTGACAGCAGTGGTAGGATGTGTGTCCCCTACCCGGAAATGCAAAATCGCATATATATATATATATATATATATATATATATATATAAACATAATGTGATTTTGCGTACCTGTGCCGCTCTGTAGCAGTATATCTGCTATAGGGAAGTCGGGAAGCGGTTAACCACTTTTGGCCTGCCCACCATATACTGCAGACAAGCGGCAGCTACAGGACCAGCAATGTACCCGTATTTGCACTACTACCCCCCCACCCCGGGACCTGTTGATCACGTGATCGCAATGACAACAAAGTTTTTATGGATCAATCCCAAACTTTGCTTCTGTTCCTGTTGAGCTGTGATTGGTCCACAGCTCTCACATGACACATGTGGCCAATCATAGCACCCTGTACCATGTGACCAGTTGGAGCCAATCACAGATCACTGTTATATTGAACTTTTGCAATGCAAAGTGTAAGAAAAAAATAAATAAATCCCTGATCACCCCCAAGAGAAGTACAATTTTACTATGGTAACATTGCATTATTCTGATGAAAGTATTTAAAAAAAATAAATCTTACAAAAAAGAGATGTTTAAAAAAAAAAATTTAACTACTTGACGCCCACCCACGAACAATGTGAAGGCAAGTGGCTGCTCTGGACAAAGCGATGTAATTCTGCGTAGTTTTCTATTGCCCAGTGTGCAAGCGCCCCCTGCTAATCCCTATGCCATCCAGGGAGAGAAGGAACACGGCACGGAGTAAAAGCACTACATTTTACACATGCACACATTAGATTAGCACATTTAACCCTTTGATCACCTAGTCACCCAGCCAGTGCCATTAGTAGTGTCAGTATATAGAATTTTTCACTGATCACTGTATTACTGCCACTAGTGACATCAGATCATGTCAGAGTCTGTAAGCTCCCGTCCCAGCCAGGGTCAGCTAGCGTTAGATTGCCCGCACACTATCGCACTCATGCTATAGGTCACTTATCACGGTCATTACTAGGATAGTGTTTGCACAGATCAATATATTGGTCATGAACTATACTAGTGCCTCCTTTTGTATGGTTTCCCTAAAAACGCAGTGTTGGCAGGATCAGCCCTGTTCCCTGCCAGCACCTCCCTCAGCGGTTTTTCACGTAAGATTTGTATCAATTGATTGTGGGCCAAAGCCGTTTATATGCACAATACATCTCCGCTCACCAAAATTCAGCTCTTGCTAAACAAATCGCATGGAAACCTATCACAGTTTCTGAATTTAAAACTTTTTTGGGCTTAACCCCCAACATGGGCATTACAAAAAAGAACAAATTGCGGTCATATTGGTCCACAGATCCCATTCATCATATGCCCAACATGGACCAGCAACGTAATGGTACATTGCTGGACTTTGAGTGGTTATACCGAGATGATGCCTGCAGCTATAGGCATCATCCTGGTATCATATTTTCCAGCTTATGGTCGGCTTTCATGTAAAAACAATCCTAGCCGCTAATTAGCAGCTGGATCGCTTTTACAAGCAACAGGAAGGGACTCCCCCCACCGCTCCTGCTGCCTTCAAAGGTTTTGTAGGGCATTCCTGTCCCACCGGGACGCAAAAATGCATTGGACAGTTTGGCTGGCTGACAAGAGAGCTGAACGGAGTCTAGAAAGCCTCCAAGCATCACTATGGTCTAAGAGACCGGAAGCTACGAGCATTTCATAGTTTCGGTTTCACTGGATATAAACAGCGCCATTTTAAAATTAGGAAAACATCTGATCACACCGATCTTGGTGTGATCAGATACTTTAAGGGTAGAGGAGAGATTTAGAGTCTAATAGACCCCAGATTTCTCCGAAAAGAATACCTGTCACTGCCTATTGCTATCACAGGGGATATTTGCATTCCTTGTGATAACAATAAAGGTAATTAAAATAAATGGTACAGTGTAAAAATAATAAAAAAAAGCAAAACAAACAATTAAAAAAAAAAATTACCTCCATTCCCCGTGCTTGCACGCAAAGGCAAGTGTCAGTCCCATGGCGGTATGTAAACAGAGATTGCACCATGCATGTAAGGTATCACTGCAAAAGTCAGATGATCGAGGGCAGTAATTCTAGCACTAGACCTAATGTGTAAATCAAAAGTGGTGACCTGTAAAAGGCTTTTAAAGCGTTTCCTATGAATATTACAAATTTACATAATCTGTCACCGTTGCACGGGTGTGCACAACTTTAAAGCATGTCATGTTTGGTTATCCATTTAATCAGAGTAACATCATCTTAAACAACTGGGCAATATATTGTGTTTTTGTGCATTAAAATTATAAAAAAAAAAAAAAGTGTGTGAAAAAAATTGCTGTGCAAATACTGTGTGACAAAAAAAAATTTCAACACCCACCGTTTTATTCTCTAGGGCCTCCGCTTTAAAAAAAATATATAATGTTTTGGGGTTTAAAGAAATTTTCTAGCAAACAAAATATTTCAAGTAAACAAAAAGTGTCAGAAAAAGCTTGGTTTTCAAGTGGTTAGAAAAGTGGGTGATGACTGGCATAAGCTTCTAATGTTGGCACTGAAATGCTAGGATAGTAAAAGCACCCTCCCCCCCCCACCAAATGACCCCTTTTTGGAAAGTAGAGACTCCAAGGTATTTGCTAAAGGGCATGGTATGTAGCAGATCTCCTTTGTTGCCACAAGTTTTTGTAAAACGAAGGAAGAAAACGAAAATTTATTTCTTTTCTTGTTAGTTTTCAAAACTGACAAATTATATCTGCAAAATACTCACCATGGCTCTTATCAAACTCCTTGGGGTGTCTACATTCCAAAAAAAGGGGGTTATTTTGAGGTGTTTGTACTATCCTGGCATTTTAGGGCCTCCAAAACTGTGATAGGTAGTGAGGAAGTAATTTTCCAAAAATTTGTGGCAAAAATAAATAAAATGTTCCATGGACTCAACATGCCTCTCAGCAAATTCCTTGGGGTGTCTACTTTCCAAAAAAGGATAATTTGAGGTGTTGTTGTACTACCCTGACATTTTAGCACCTCAAGAAATGTCAAAGTAAAAGCTGCGTAAATTCCACAAATTTCACACAAATCCAATAAATATACATGTATTGGGAGTTTTTTTTTTTTTTAATTTTTTTTTTTTTTAACCAAAGACATGTAGCAGAATAAATTTTGGCCTGAATTTATGACTGAGTTTACTATATATTTTTTTTTATAACCGAAAGTAAAAAAACATTGTTGTTATTCAAAATGTTCAGTCTTTTTTTGTTTATATCATAAAAAATAATCCATTGGTGATCAAATACCACCAAAAGAAAGCTCTATTTGTGTGACAATAAATCGGACAAATTTTGTTTGGGTACAAAGTGCATGTCCGCCTAATTACCAGTTGAAATAGCGCTGTGCCGAATAGCAAAAAAAAATGGCCTGTTCATTAAGGGAGGTAAACCTTCCGGAGGGCAAGTAGTTAAACTTCCTAATCAAAGCAAAAATATTGATTGCATTCTATTTGAAAGCATTTTATTACAATTAAAACTCAATGAAAGCAATTTGAAAATGTTTTATTTTGTTTAAAAGTCTGCCATCCTATATACATTAAATATTTAGCTACATTTTTGTAACGTCTGCAAAGAGGGGGATTTGAAATAAAGTCCTGTTATTGTATCTTTTTCCATCTTTCGCAGGATTGCCCAATTAGGTTTAGTCTTCAATAGATTTAGAGGTCAAACGCCACCAGGCCACTTTCATTCTGTCCCACACTGCTGTCATGGAGTCATACGCAGGACGGACATCCAAAATTGAAAACTGATAGTTTTTATCCACTTCTCCTCCGTCATAGTAGTCAATAACATATCGGACTTTCTGTCCACAGCGATCTACAATCCAGTCATGGCGATCAAAGGGGAGTTCGTAGCTGTACAAGAAAAGGGCAAGTACAAGTTAGCACTACTAAGAAGTTTAGGACTCAAGATAAAGAAACTAGACCCAGTAAAAATCAGGATACCGTTTTACAACCTAGAGCTGGTAAAATGACCACATACAACCACCTTTTACTTTTTTTGTAATCAATTTTTTTTAGCAATTAAATTTGTGCCTATGCACACCTTCTCCTCTGACTGCTAGCACAGTTTACAAATCGCAAATGTTCTTGATGCATTAATAGTTGTGTTTAATAATTGTATGCGTATTAATAGAGATGAGGCCCCCTTCCTTCATAGTCTTAATTTTTAGGTATGTTGCTTTTCCAAAGCTACACTTAAAATAATGTTTTGTGATAACTTAGGATGAAAACCTTGCTTTGCATAATTGTTTAAAAAACAGTGGTTCCCAACCCCTCCAGTACTAAGGACCACCCTCGCAGGAGACAACCCCTCCACGGACCGGTGCAGCCGTGCAACCTTCCTTCTATCTTCCACATCACTAACCTAACCATAACCCACGGATTTCAAATCGCAAAAATGTCAAGCCTCTGAGTTGACTGGCTGCTCTAGATCAACTGGTCAGATCCAGCGTGGGGGATTCTGGGATTGGTAGTACAGGGTGGTCTCAGTTTTTCTTCAGGTTCTCAGACTACAATTCCCGGAAGTCGAAGAGAGGTCAGGAACCATGAGCTAATCAGCGCTCTCTTTCCCAGAGTCATCCCGTGTGCCTGCAGCAGATACTCTCCTCACCATCTGTGTTGATACATGGCATGTGTAGCAAGAGATACATCGCACAGGGCTGGTGGGAGCCCAGGCGGCAGCACGAGCAGTCACAAATACAAAATCAAGCCTTGCTCACCCACCGCCCACCCCCCAGTGTGGCCCGGCACCCAACAGGCATTGGTACAACACTGGCCCACAGCCTGGGGGGGGGGGGGGGAGGGGTTGGGGACTTCTGGTTTAAACCTGGGATGATTTGATTAAATTCAACTAGTTTAAAGCATCTGTATAACCACAGCTTTTTTTTTTTTTCTTCTCAGTTTGCCAAGATTGTGAAAAAGGGGGGCCACTCTAACAATCAATTCAATTTATGAGATAAAGACTAATATACTGTAACCTATATGGTTAGCTTAACACTCAACATGCTTACTGGATGAATGAGAACATAGGGATAACTTTATAACGGAGTTGCTGCTCCTTCGCTGTCTAATCAGTAGACTATGGAGGGGGCCTTGATCAGATTGTATTGCTCAATTGCACTAGAGAGAAAAGGAAGGTCACCAACCTATCTGTACTCTCTGGATCACAAGAGAGGCTGAAGAGAGTTAAAAAACCTCTCTCAACAGTCAACATAAGTATTCAGCTGTATGCCTGGAGTTACTTTTAGCTGAGGAATACAAATAGTTAGGATGAAAAAGCAAAACATACCCCAACCATGATCTGATTCGTGCTCTGGGTGAATACTCCTTTGCTTTACCACCAAAGCGAATTAGACTGGGGCCACAGGGACATTCTCTAAAAAGAAAAGAACAATACAAATGTACTTAAGAACCAGTTATACAGTCTCATCATTTTTTTAATATGGCACAAGCCAGGGAATCACATGGGTTTCTGTGGTTAGTTTTAGGTTAGAGCTGCAATATGCCAAAAAATCCAAGCACAGTCAAGGGTAATAACAGAAAAGTGTAACCAATACAACATTTTTCCATGAAGGGTTTCCCCAATATCCTAAAGACCCACTATAATGAAAAAAAAAAAAAAAAAAAAAATACTGTATTCTAGTAACTATCTTCTTTTTTTTTTCCACGTGGCTTCATTTATATTTTTCTCTTTATATGAATGGTGACCAAGCTGTCAAGCCAAAGTGACAGTCACAGACGTTGGGACAAACCATAACACATAGTTAACATAGTCACTTTTGATTCATATGGTTTAAGGTCCAACTCCCAAAAAAAAAAAAATAATAATAATCTTCTTTACATTGTGCACCCCCCCCTTTCCCCACACTGAAAGGGTAAAAGATTGTTAACTCTAGGGAATGAAGAATAAGGTGCAATACTTTGCTTACTCCTCACTTCAGAGCTGTCCTCTGCCTTGTGGGCAGACCCTTGCCATCTTCACAAACAATGCAGGGCTATCTGGTCTGCACTGTACATTATGACGTCATGCTCAGAGTGCCTTATAGGAGAGGCTTCTGGGAACCAAAGACAATGGAAGACGCCTGCCAGAATGAGGGGCAAGGTAAGTAGTACACCTTAATTTTCATCCCCTAGATCTTAGGAGCATTTAATCCTTGCAATGCAGGAGGGCCCCACCGCAAAAGACATTTCTGCACAATTCCCAAGTTGGGCCTAAGTAGTTCTAAAGGCTTTAGTCAACATCTGTTTTTTTCCATTAAAAACTGGAAAAGGACAAAAAACAAATGTAAAAATGGACAAAACGGACCGTTTTTGCATTGGTAGTGGATGTTAAAAACCAATTTAACGCGACTGAATAAAATAAACAGTCCGCACGTGTGAAAGGGGCCTTAAGGATCTTTACCTTAAAGTGGAACTTTACTCACCCTCAGTCCAGCGATGTGCCATTGCAGAACTCCCCATCTGAAGATGTCACAGCTGGCTTTTGGGTCTCGATCACTCCTGTGCATGCACGGGAGTTCCGTCAGCTTCGGCATTGCTGCATTTCTGCAACGAGCTGTGCGTGCACAGCTCACTGTACAGGGCACACAGGCAGGTAAGCAGCTTTAATGCAGAAGAGACAAAGCATGTATCTTCTGCATTAAAAATCCTGCCTGTCTGCCTATTTTTATTTCCTAGCATAAAGTTCCACTTTAATGTATTCCCTGCATTAAGGTACAAACCCTTCTGTGCTAAAGGATCAACCCCCCCCATACTTTTATGAGGAACTGTGCCTGAGAACAGCAGCTCTCTCCTTCTCCCGACAGGACAAATTGATAGCTGCAAGAGCCACTGGCTACCACTGCTGTCAAATACTGTGATAAGGAGAGGGGGGCAGAATGAAGCGGCTTCCTATGGCGGCACACTGAAGACAGTAGGAACCAGGAGCCCAAGTGGGGGGACCCAAGAAGTGGAGGATTGGGCCAGGGGTAGGCAACCTGCGGCTCTCCAGCTGTTGCAGGACTACAAGTTCCATCATGCCTCTGCAAGTCATAGCTGTAACTGTCAATTTTGCAATGTCTCATGGGAAATGTAGTTCCACAACAGCTAGAGAGCCGCAGGTTGCCTACCCCTGATTGGGGCCAATCTGTGCAATTCTATTGCCCAAATCAGGTAAGCATCACGTTTAAGAAGTAAAAAAAAAAAAAAAGTAGGGGTTTACAGTCACTTCAATGCTTTTATTTTTTAAAGAAAAAATAATTTCAAGCGGTCACAGCAACAATTTAACTGGAGTTGGACTTAACATCTACTTGCCGTCTACTTTGGGTCCATCTAAAACTACCTGTCCACACAATGACAACACTGCAGTGATTTCACTGTAGAACGCACAGCATTATCTCCCTGATGAGAGAAGTGGAAAACCAAGCCAAGTTCTGGACAATGGACACTATACGATACAAATTAGTATTTCTGCTGTAAGAACAATCCTTCTGAAAGCACTGCCATATTTGAGTAAATGAAGAGTCCTTGCATGTTCATGTCTACTGCATGACACTGGTAAGAAGTCAATCATCCACTAAGCACTATAAAAAGGGAAGGGGAGAGGGCATGGCTTTTACAATATATATTCCAAAAAGTGGAGTCATTTATTAGGATCTACGGGGCACTAACAGAAGGCTTTATCCTAACAAAACAAACAAACAAAAAAAAAAAAAGGATATTTTGTAACTTCCGGTAAAAGGACAGTAGGACACTAAGCAGAAAGAATACAGAACCGTCTATGGGCAGTCCTAGCTGGTATAAACCCTCTCTGCGCCATAGGCAAGCCCAGTTAGTCACAAAGCAGTGCAAATGATAGAAAAAAAACTCAAGAAGAGGGGTGGGTGCTGTGTCCGTCAATGGAATCAGGGAAAGGGATGGTGAGTAACGAAAAAAAATCCTGTTTTCTCTTGCGCTCATTGATGGACACAGCTCTTCTATTCTTGACCATAGGGACATCCAAAGCAGTGCCTCAAATCAGGGGTGGGCAACCGAAAACACTGGAGCAACTCAACCAACATGACAGCCACCCACACAAAACACACTAAGTGATTACATGGAAACACATTGGGGCCTCCTCAGCAGGATATAATCTTGGAAGAAATTCTACTTATACAATGTATCCTGCTCAAAAAGGTCAAAATATTATATTCCATGTGTCAGCAGTATGTATTTTTTTTTTACACTTTTGCATCAATAAAATATTGAATATCTTATGTAAACACTTGGTGCGACTGCAGTAAAGTCTCTTGGGAAGAAATTTTATATGTATGACTAACAGATGTGGTGACCTTCTACTCAGTGTCAAACACTTGATATATATTGAGGCCATTCAAGGACTTAGAAAAGGAAAAAGGTGAGATCTTTATTAGGTTAGATGAGTGGCGCTATCATCAATTGAAGTGTTTGTTGTGAGTCTTCCGAAGCCACTGAGACCTAGAAAGGATTGGAACTTATTTGAAAAGCTGTTGGAATCACGAGGGGATGGGAAAACACGGTATTGCAAAAGTATATAAAATTCTCACCGAATTAGACACAAATCCTAAGCCAATGTATATAGAAAAGTGGGAAAGAGATGTGACGATGGTTTTTGATGAGGAGAAACAGAAGAAAATTATATAGGTTAATTCACGAGAGAGTGTTAGTATGAAAGAGGTAGAAATGAATTATAAGTGTTTGATAAGATGGCACATTACACCGAATGTTAAGCACAAGGTGAATGGGGAAAATTCACAGTGGTGTTAGAGGGGATGTGGTGAGATTGGCACAGTATATCACATATGGGTGGGAATGCCCAAAAAATTCAAGTATTTTGGAAGTCAAATAGTTCACTTAATTGGGTTGATAACAGAGATCGATATTGGGTTAAAACCAGAGATTTGTCTTCTACACAACACAGAGTTATCGGTGAGTAAATATAAGAAACTAGGTATAGGGGGGCTATCTAAATGCTGCAAAAGGTCTGATACCAAAGTTCTGGAGGAAATCAGAGGTGCCGAAGGAGGAAGATTGGGTAGAGAGAGTGAACCAGATTACTAGGATGGAAAAACTTGATTATATGCAGGAAGACAAGATGGGGATATACTATGTGAAATGGGCAAAATGGGAAAAATCTGGATTTAATGTGAAATATAGGAAGGTATAGAGTGGTTTGATGTGTTGGACTTTCTTGCATTGATAAGGAAAAATAGGAGAGAATGCAGAGTGGGGTAGAGGGGGTGAGGGTGGGAGGAGAGGTAAAACGGGGGGGGGAGGGGGTAGCTAGGATGGGCGGGTACGGGGAATTGTTTTAGAAAAGTAATATAGAAATGATTTTTTTTATATTTAAAGTGAATATGGTGGAAAGTGTATCTATTTGAAAAAAATTAATAAAAATTTAAATAAAAAAAAAAAAAAAACCACCACTTGATATATACACTGGCAACTGAGAGCCAAGTCTGCTATAATCTTCAAGAGCTTTTGCTGTTCAACCACATTAGTTTTCTTTCCTGGTTTTCTCCATGATCATTAAGTAAAATATTGCTGATGAGTTGGTGGAACCTTCTAGTTTTTAATTTAGGAGAACACAGACATGTCCGTGGGTCATCGATTTATGTTTTTGTCTTACAGTTCCACTGGTGCCAAAAATAGCAATCAAATATGTTTCAAGTGTATCTCCTAAAAATATTAACTCTCATTTGCCCGCCAGCAGTAAAAACCTTCAAATTAGAAAAATTTTTTTTTGTTATTGGTATATAGAATATTAACATCATTAGCCAAACAGTAGCACTCCAGAAATACTTACTTAGCATGGAGAGCTTCCCACTTCAAGATTTCAGACCAAGCCTGCTCGTTGTTTTGATTGTGAATTTTAATAATATTTGTCATATCTTCACGCTTAATATCCTCTTCCTTCCATTTCCACCTGATGCACAGAATGATGATGTTTACAATAATAACGAAACGCAACTCTGACCTCACCAATGTTAGATACATGTGGTCTCATAGCTAACAGCTTTTTCACACCATGTCCCTTTAGCTGCATTTTCCTACACATTGTGTGAACATTATTTTCTATGTGCCCTGTTCACACCAGACCTGTGTGGGATGAATAAGCTCTAGAGATGCCTTAAAAAAAGAGAAGTATGGGATATGAAACAAACATATATACTCACCTAGCTGGATGCAGCATCAATCTACACCGAGAACTGAGCAAACGCTGATCGCTCAGTTCTCAGTGAGCAGAGGACTGTCAGTCACCAGCTCTCTGTTCTGCTTCTCCAGCACTCACTGCAGCACAGGGCTGTAGAGGGGGGCAGAAGCGGATGGCTCAGGGTCTCAGCATCATGTGTGGCGTCAGTTTGCCTTCTACTTGGGATCACAGCCCATCTGTACTCCAATGATCAGACTTCTGCTGACAGGCCTCTCTGCAAAGCCTTCACTGGGAAGAACAGTGTACTGCTGTTTCTCTGCCTCCTGCTGACATGCCCCCCTGGAAGTTCTTCAGCATATTTCTGTCACTGCATTTTACACTGAACTGTGTCTATACTCCATGCAATCTGCTACCGCCACATCCCTATCATAAAGAGTCTCCACCTCCACCTCTCTAAAGCCTAATATGTGGACCGAAAGTCAGCCAAACTGGACGACCAGCTTCTGTTGATCAGTCTTTCTGGAAAACCAGCGTTCAAAACAGCACTTGCAGTCAATGGGCTGATCGATATACTCTGGCAGCGAGAGGGAGTAGTCCCCCCTGTCAGAATTACAATAGTATAGCAGGAGAGATCCTGCATCAAACATTGTCGTTTTGATGTAGGGATCTGTCAGGTTTTTTCCGTTCCACCCACCGGCTAAATGAAAGAAAAAAAAAAACCTGCATGTGTATATCCAGCTTAAAAGTGGTTGTAAACCCCTTGCATATAACTAGTGAAGTGACTGGCCTCATGTGATACAGAGATGTGAAGCAAATACTCCTATATGAAAGTTTTGTTTATCTGCAGTCTTTGCTTCTATACATCCATTCAAAAGGGCTGAATTTAGATAAAATCCTTCTTAGTCTGTCAATTTCACAGAGGAGGTGATAGAGAGCTGCAGGTAGAGCTCCTGTGAGCTGTTTGGAGGAAAGGGACACCCCCCTCCACATGCACAGAAATGAAGGAACATGCAGAGCTGTGTTATGAGTAGATAAGCTGTGTAATAAGCTCCCTCTCCATCACATTTTATCTTGGGTGTTGAAAAAACTTCTCAGACTTGACACATGCGGATAACAGAGGAACCAGAGCAAAATGACACTCGGAGCTTTGAAGAAAGACAAGTAAAAAACACTACAGACATATGGACTTTGTTCAGATTTCATGGCTGAGGTTTTACAACCACATTAAGCCCCTTATACAGATGATAAAAACAGTCATCACTTTAAAAAAAAATAAAAATGATATATTTATATATATAATAAAAATACTATTTAGAATTTTTTTTTTTTTTTTTTTAATTCATACACAATGTTTTGCCGTGCATTTCTACTTTAAACTGAATGGGTTGTTTTACAAGGTTCAAATATACTTTAAATGGGGTGCACCAACACCCCCCCCCCCCTCGGAATTTACTTATATCTGGTAATCCCACCAACAACACACTTTCTGTTCTAGGGGAACTATGTTTAAAATATCTTTTGCCCAGAGAAGGACTTTAAAGTGGTAGTAAACGGCGGATTTTTATTTTTACCTACAGGTAAGCTTACCTATAGGTAAACTGAATATCTCCTAAATGTGCACCATTTAGGAGATATTCGCTCCTCTTGACAGCCGGCGCATGCACTCTGAAGGGACAGCTGTGCCATTCCTTCAGAGAACTGAGCCATAGCCCAGAACTTCCCATGCACATGCACATTGGGCTTTGATAACATGCCAGCCCACTTTCTGGAGGTGATGCTCAATCAGGATGCATTCCCTCAAAGCCTTCCTAATGGCCAGCGAAGCCATCACTTACATTATAATTAATGCTATGTATTTAAGCACAAATAATGTTTAGTCAAGTTTCACTTCATAGTTCTAAGAGGTTTTGTATGGCTCACCCTTTCCGTAGCATAGCATTCCAGAACATCTGCTCTGAAGGATACACCCATTTTTTATCATTCTCAGCTCTAGGAATTGTGGATTCTTCTCGGTTTAAAGATAGTGAAAAAGGCTGATCTGGGGCTGGGGTTTGATTCGGAGGAGGCATCTGGAAAAGGGTAAATAAAGGAGATTAAAGAAAAGTAAATTTACCAACATTCCCCAGTAAGATTCATGGAATGTCTACAGGTAAACAGCTGTGGTGTCCGAAAAATGAACATTGTAACTGTAACCAGAGAGAAACAATGTAACATCATACCATATTGCTGGGATCAATATCATCTTTACTGCCCGCTCTCATTGGACACTGAACATACTCATAGGCTCGTTCTTGATGAGCTGGTCCTGAACAGCTCTGGCTCTCAGCATTCTGGGGAACCTCTTTGTGCATTGGACAACCTAAAGCATAAAAAAAAAAAAAAAAAAAAAAAAACAACACACCACACCTTTTAATCCACGAAACATTAAAACTATGTACAGAGACAAGGTTATGTGGACAAGTATAATATCCAAAAATAAGGAAGATATGAACTCATAGTGTATTTAAAAAATCTCAGCAGATTGAAAAATATAGGATGGGAGGGCTAAATTGCAGTAGAAAGCATTAGGAGACATTAGGGAGTAGAACGTTGCTAAAACCTTTTACAGGAAAGGTGGAGATCTGCTCATAACTCCATCCACCATTATCTTTGGAAACTGTCATTTGGCTTTCACCGAGACCTCTGCTTCAGCATTTTTTCCCTAATGATCAGTATAAATTGTCCAGATTTTGACAAGCCTACTGAAAGTTTAAAAACAAGCAGCCTTCCCTTTTTAAATCATATTCATAAGTGTAGTAACTCATACCAACCAATAAAACTCATTAAAATACAAACAAAAACCCCTTGCACTGGATGTGTGCAATAAAGTGATAAAAAAAATTCTATGATTAAACACAAAATAATAAAATGAACAACACTGCTGCCACCTACAAATACACAGTGCATACAAAAAAAATGAACATAAATAGCTCAGTGGCGCTGTGAGAAAACATAAAATCATAAAAAATAAACTATAAAAAAAAAAAGTCCATATTGACACGTAGATATCAGTTGCAATGTGATAATCTTCTAATACGCTCAAAACCACCATGTGCTCAGACACTGTAGTCTCTTTTGGGTATGCGCTCACCAGACCCACATACCTCCCACTCTCATGGTCGGCATGTATCACTTGTGAATCTCCCATGTATTAAAATAAATAGACAGCCACTCACAAGATAAGCTCAGAAAAACGCCTGTTGTATTGAGTATAGTGGGATGCGTATGTAATGCTCTCACCACCGCCGGATCCCAAACAATGGCGCTCCCGTGTCAAATTACATATTACAATCTTCCATTGATTAACAGTCCATAATTTATGGGTGTTACACCACTTTCTCCTCTTCTAAACATTAATATTGGTCACTATTTGTTTGGTAATTGCAGCAAACCCATGTATGTTTTGCTTATGGAGTTCCCTCCACACATTTTTGTGGAATACAGGCTTTGGAAGACTGAGATTGAGCTCTAGGAACTGTTGCAGCAGTTGTTTCCTTATTCTGGGTCAAATCCTGAGTAATGTCCTTTTGTCTCTTTTGGTCAGTTGACCATGTTGACCAGGAATACTCAACCCATTTGTTCCTCGGAGCCCTGTGATGTGGCCCTCAAACTCAAACCAGGGAAGCGCACTTTTGGTGCTCTTTGTGAAAGCACACCAAAACTCCTAAATACAGGAGTTTTGGTGCACTTTTGGAAAGGGCACCACACCCTCAAGATATTATAGAGGTATATGGCAAAGTGCAGCTAACCAGCAGGAAAGCAGCTGGTGCCATGCACTGCACCAGCGTTTCAGGTAAACCACAGCACCTCAGTATGAAAACAGCCTTATAGGGAGCTCATGATAGTAATGGCTCATTTAAATTTACATTACGTTTGAGGCAGCGGCAAAACCCCAAAGTTGAGATGTGTTTTTAACCACACTCCCCCAACCACGTAGCATCAAGGGTGGCAATGGCAAACCTGCACCATGCTCCAGGGGGCCCTGTAAGGACTACCTGTCACATTTAGTTTTACAACTAGACAGGAGGGCAGCATATACATTCCACATTCACCTCCTGCAACTACTGAAAGCTGGCTTCTCCTCCTCTTTCCTCCGGCATTCAGCAGCTGCAGGAGAAAAATGTTCATTATGTGAATCAAAATAGAAAACTCAAAATTCTGGACCATTTTGTTTCATTGTGGCCCACGTTACTAAATCACTTAAGTGGCCCTCGCTCTTCAAAGGGTTGAGCACCCCTTGTTGACTGTGCTCATGCTTACCAAACGTTTTTCTGGAAACTCTATATGCTGTCATAGCCTTTGATACTGTACCTAGCGAAACGGCAAGTAAACTGCCAACTTCAGTCACAAAGGCGAAAACAATGTACCCTCTTTGAAACTCAGTTAGGCATGAGGTAACTAACATGTAAGGTAACTGACATGACTCCGTATTAGTAGCAGCACATGCAGTGAATGACAAAAGTGTTAGCTTGGTGTCTCATTACACAGCAGAAGCAAAAGATTGTTACATCACTTCTGCTTTTAATGCAAAATGTTGTATTTGCACACCTGCAAATCATGTAGTGTTTTCATATTTTTGTCCAACCCTGTATTTTGGTATGCTCACAGTAAAAAAACTTAAACCTTTTCCACCATTTGAATTTTTCAGGCATTTAACAAGTAAAGTAATGTGGAACACCAGCTGATGTTATGTGAACTGAAATAAGGCATGGTGACAAACATATCGAAAAATGGATTTACATTACAATTACATACAATGGATAATGATAGAAATATTTCTCTTTGTGATCTGTGTGAAATCTGTGCATCTTTGTCATGATTACAGGTAGCATTACCTTCCACCTTTTTCTGATGCATGGGACATCCTGGTGGTGGAGATGCTGTAGACTGAGATGTTTCTGAGACGGTTGCTGATGGCAGTGGAGAAGCAGGGGCTGATGCACAAGCACCCATTGTATCTGCCAAGAAAAAACACAAATACATGAATCACTTGGTACAAAACAATAGATATTGATTGCATCTTCAGTTGTGAACCAAAACTGGGAACGTGTTTTTACTGAACAGCTAAAAATCACCTCTTAGGCCTCAAACGAATCAAAAATCAGTGTTGTAGAGCAGACAATAATAATCTTTTTAATCTATGCAATATTGGCAATAGGCAGCAGGGTCAGCAAACAGCTAAAAATCACCTCTTAGGCCTCATAACCACATCTGCAGCTATTAGAAGAAATGATATGCACTTACTGTGTATTCTTTATACTCAAGCTCTAAGTCCACCTTCTACAAAATTAATAATAATACCCCTCATGCCAGGGTACTAGGCGTAATCCTAGACTCCCATCTGTCCTTCCAGCCCCAGATCCAATCGCTGACAAAATCATGTAGACTTCACCTCCGCAGCATCTCCAAGATACACCCGTTCCTAACCTCGGAAACCACTAAGCAACTTATTCACTCCCTTATTATATCTCGCCTTGACTATTGTAACTCCTTCCTCATTGGCCTACCTCATCGCAGGCTATCCCCTCTTCAGTCTATCATGAATGCTGCTGCCAGACTTATCCACCTTACTAACCGTTCTGTATCTGCCACCCCTCTCTGCCAATCCCTCCACTGGCTTCCCATTGCCCAATGGCAAAACACTAACAATAACGTATAAAGCCATTTATAACTCTGTCCCAAATTACATCACCTATCTTGTCTCTAAACATCACCCAAACCGTACTCTCCGCTCCTCGCAAGACCTCCTACTCTCTAGCTCCCTTATCTCCTCCTCCCACGCTCGTCTCCAAGATTCTCCAGGGCGTCACCCATCCTCTGGAACTCCCTATCCCAATCTATCAGACTATCGCCTACTCTACTTACTTTTAGGCGATCACTGAAAATCTCTCTCTTCAGTCCATCCCCCACGTTTATTACCTACTGTACCACTCACCCCTCCCCCCTGGATTGTAAGCTCCAAGGAGCAAGGCCCTCAAATCCCTCTTGTATTGAACTGTATTGTTATTGTATTGTCTCCCATTATAATGTAAAGTGCTGAGCAAACCGTTGGCGCTATATAAATCCTGTATTATAATAATAATTGCACCTATATTATATTTGGAGAAAAAAAATGTAATTCATTATTGTTTTGCAAATTAGACTGCAAAGCATTACAAATGCAATCAGTGGATTGCAGGTGCAATGCCAGGCTCCTACAGACTCTTCCTCCAGCTCCCTGTCTGTACTGAGGTACAGGCTTTCAGTTGGAGAGCTTGAGCAAATGTCTTTGAAACTCAGTAAGGCATGAAGTAACGAACATGTAAGGTAACTGACATGACTGTGTATTACCAGCAGCACATGCAGTGAATGATAAAAGTGTTAGCTTGGTGTCTCATTACACAGCAGAAGCAAAAGATTGTTACATCACTTCTGCTTTTAATGCAAAACATATTCTCACACCTGCAAATCATGTAGTGTTTTCATATTTTTGTCCAACCCCTGTATTTTGGTATGCTCAAAGTAAAAAACGTGACCCTTTCCACCATTTGAATTTTGCAGGCATTTAACAAGTAAAGTAATGTGGAACACCAGCTGATGTTACGTGAACTGAAATAAGGCATGGTGACAAACGTATCGAAAAATGGATTTACATTACAATTACATACAATGGATATTGATTTAAATATTCCTCTTTGTGATCTGTGTGAAATATGTGCATCTTTGTCATGATTACAGGTAGTATTACCTTCCACCTTTTTCTGATGCATGGGACATCCTGGTGGTGGAGATGCTGTAGACTGAGATGTTTCTGAGACGGTTGCTGATGGCAGTGGAGAAGCAGGGGCTGATGCAGAAGCACCCATTGTATCTGCCAAGAAAAAAAAAACAAAAAACACAATACATGAATCACTTGGTACAAAACAATAGATATTGATTGCATCTTCAGTTGTGAACCAAAACTGGGAACGTGTTTTTACTGAACAGCTAAAAATCACCTCTTAGGCCTCAAACGAATCAAAAATCAGTGTTGTAGAGCAGACAATAATAATCTTTTTAATCTATGCAATATTGGCAATAGGCAGCAGGGTCAGCAAACAGGTAATAATCTATGCAATATTGGCAATAGGCAGCAGGGTCAGCAAACAGGTAAACTTTTTATGTTGTAAGTGGGGGGAGGATTGGGATGGTTGAAAGGTAATATTTCAGTGAAGGTCCATTTTAAACTCATTTCATGTCTGCCAAGTAAACAGCAGTAGAAAAGAAGAACATATTTGAGAGATCTTAAAAATGCTGTGTGCACAGGACACAGACACAGGAGATCAACAAAGCCACACCAAAAATGATTAGATTACACTGTAACAAAAATTATGTCTATCTGATTAGTGAACTGTTGCATATCCAAGCACTCCTTTATACTGTATGCAGAAGACCACTCATCTTATTTGCCTCCTAGGTCAAACTGGATCCTAAATGCAGCACTGATTTGCCCACCATACTTTCATAACCACATCTGCAGCTATTAAAAGAAATGATATGCATTGAGTATTCTTTATAATCAAGCTCTAAGCCCACCTTTTACAAATCTATTAATAATAATAATAATAATTGCACCTATACTATATTTGGAGAAAAAAAAATGTAATTCATTATTTTTTTGCAAATCAGACTGCAAAGCATTACAAATGTAATCAGTGGATTGCAGGTGCAATGCCAGGCTCCTGCAGACTCTTCCTCCAGCTCCCTGTCTGTACTGAGGTACAGGCTTTCAGTTGGAGACCTGGAGCAAATGTCAATGGACTACAAGTGTGGTAATTATTGTACTCGTGTATAATTCAGAATTACAAGTCTGTTTGTTGTAGTGGCAGACAGAACGTTAGATCTCTGTGAATAAATCATGTGGCTGTGCAGGCAGGGCCCCACACAGCCAAGTGACAGAAGCTGTGGGGGAGAGGAATGCTGTGACAAGAAGGGGGGGGCATGGCTACATGCTAAATGCAGGTGTAACATATCGCTAGGTTCAAAATGTGGAGTTAGCTTTTAATGAAAAATACTCTATTAAAAAAATAAAAAAAAAAATCAAACAACAAAATCACTGCTTCAGACAAAGCCATTGTAAACACTGTCAGGGGAATTCAAAAAAGCTTTTATGGTTCTTTAAAAGTCCTGCACCAGATTCAAAAGGCCTGCTGCCATTTTCAGTAGTTTTACCAAAACATGTGGTAGATTCAGGAAGTTACTGTACCAAACACCAAAAACAATCGCCTCCAGTTTAAAAATGGAAGCAACTAAACCCATTGATTTAATGGTTTCCCAAACAGCTACATTTAAGACATGCTGTGAATGAGAACTGTCACAGGTGCTTGTACTCCCACCATCAAATGGCTGGTGTCACAACTGATCACATGTGCAGCACCATGGCAACAGCTGATCAAACAGAGGCTAAGAAGGCAGCGGTCTTGGCTGGAAAGGATAGGAGGGTTTAGTTCTGCTTTAAGACCAATGGTAAGTTAGTTTGCAGAGACAGGCAGAGTACCTGTCTCTGTACACTGTGTAGCAAAGCGGCATGTTTGTCCCTGCTACCCCCTCCCCTTCTCACCTGTCACTGGTTGTCGAGAACCTCACAGCAACCTGTGACATTGATAATGGGCGAAGACTAATGGGGATTCAGACACGAGATCCCCATTAGGTCTACACTACCCTTATGATTAACAGCAGGCAGTGGGGAGATTCTGTAGCCAATAGTAGGCTGTCCATTACCTATGGAGCCACACACTGCCTGCTGTCAACCACAAGGGAAGCGGACCTCATAAGGAGCTAGTGTCTCTATTCTGACTACCCTGTGTCAGAGAGATGCATGTACTTGCCTATTTTCAGGCCCCTCTGGCCCCTTCATCTCCCTTGTGTCAGACAGTGCCAGCTTCAGGGGACAGGAGAGATGAAACATATCTTCCTACATAAATTGTATCTGTCCATCTGTTGTCTTCTCTACATCTGTTTAAAGTGCTGAATTTATAAAGCTTGTCTGAGTGTTCAGAAAACAGGGGGCGGAGAGTTGAAGTTACTTCAGAGCTCAGTAAGGAGAGCTCTGAGGCTTGATTGGAAGGAAGAGACACGGCTCCCTTCACAAAGTACACAGGAACAGAGCTGAAGCTGTCAATCTGCTGGAGCTCCCTCCTGTCAGCTTTTTTCTCTTGGTGTCAGTAAGCTTGTCAGAAGTGACTCATACTGATAGCTGAAGAACAAAGCAGCAGACAGAAATGACACTTAGTACACTAGATCAGTGTTTCTCAACCTTTTTTCAGTTAAGGCACCCTTTAAAATGTTGCTCAATCTTGAGGCACCCGTTACAAAATATAAAAAAAAAAAAGAGTTTTACGAAACGCAGCAACATCTACACATGTAGGACTCCCAACATTAGAGGTGTTGTGTTTTTCCAAAGCAAATATACTTTTGTACACTGGTACTATTATTCTATTGTTTCTCTCTCTCACTCAGCTAGTGCGCCTTCAGTGCTTACAGAAGAGGGGCACGGAAGGAGAAAGCATGGGTGCTGTGCAGGTGCCCAATGTCCTCCTTATCAACTGATGATGTCATTGGCTGTTATGTCACCAGCATCCAGAAAATTGTAATAGTGCACATTAAAAACCTGTGGTTTTGTTTAACTAAAAGGCAGGCCTGATCCACTTGCTGGATTGTATAAAATTGTTGGACAATTTTTAAGCATTCTGTCAAGCACCCTAAAGGCACCCTGGTTGAAAAAGACTGCTCTAGACTGAGACAAGTATACACTATATAGAGGGAAATGCTTTGTTCATAATTTCATGCCTGAGGTTTACAACAAAAGTACAGTCCATTCAAGTCTCTGCACTGCAGCTGCACTTTGGTGACCTGGGGTACTGACAAATGCACTAGGAAAAAAAAACACAGCATGTCTGCATTCTTCACCACCGCAGCACTTTAGAGTGAACGTGGTACACAGGAAACGTGTGTTTTATATGTCCCAAGTGGTGCCCTGCATTTTTCTGAAAGACACAGGTCACCACATACTATAGGTCCCATTCACACCTCACTATTGGAAGGGCAGGAAGTGAAGAAAAATCTTCCCAATGGGACCCGGCTGCCAAAAAACCTGACATCATACAGAATGAAAAAGGTTTTGCCTATAGTCAGCCCCAAGCCATTTATAGCACTTTTTTAAATTTTAAAATCAGTATTTTTTGCTAGAAAAAGTCTTAGAACCCCCAAACATTTTATATTTTTGTGAAGCAGAGGCACTAGAGAATAAATTGGGTTTTTTTTGCATTTTTTATGTCATGTGGTGTTTGTGTAGCGGTTTTTCAAATGCAATTTTTTGGAAAAAATTAATCAATTTGAATTTTATTGCATAAAAACAACCCCCCCCCCTCACACACACACACACACACACACACACACACACACACACACACACACGCGCGCACGCACGCAATACGTAATCCAATTAATTTGTAAAATAAAAAACACCCCTATCGGCCTCTGGCTGATATGAAAATGAGCACCGATACAGGTGCTGAAAATAACGCCGCCCCTCCCTGGTTCTCAGCCTTACCTGAGAACCCATCCTGGTGCTGGGCATAGAGATCAGTAAAGGAAAGATGGCCTCCACTCATCTCTATACCCTTGAAAGACTCACGCAACATCAGTATGTCACTTCCGGTGATGTCGAATGTTTCTGAGTAAACCGGAAGTGATGTCAGGTCATCGATTCTGGTTTACTATAAAGGAGAGCTGATCAAAGCTGAATGGGCCAGCTGGTCACTCGGGACTCCTGGTTGGAAGGAAGATCTCGAGATACGTGGAAGGGGAGGGGGGGAATTATGCCCCTTTCTACAGCTTGTACAAAGAATTGGGCAGCTAGTTAGCCATTGCTTGTACAAGAGAGACAATGGCCGGCGCCATAAAACAAGACCGGGGGTGATCACTCCGGTATAACCACCAAAAGTCCTGCAATTTACTCTGGTCTGGCAGTGATTATAGTGTCACTGCAGGCAAACTTTTATAATGTTTTGGATAAAGTGTAGAGGGATTAGGACAATTGTCAGTTCTTTATTGGGGGGGGGGGGGATGTGTCCCCTCTAGGGAGAATCACTCTATTTGTCCTGTTTACCGTTATCAAAAAGGTAAAATACAAAATTGTGGGCGGACATCAAAGCAGGAAGAGAGTGGAAATCTTATAATGGGGACACTAGATCTGGTGACACATTGGAGGAATTTCATGTTTGGTTATGGGACCGGAAGTGAAGGGAAACCTCCACCACACAACACAGATGGCAAATAAACTGACAGTGGTTATAAATCTCCCTGACTAAACCCAAAATGACAACTTGCCTATAGTGACACTTTAAAAATATATAAATCTCTATAGCTGGAGCTCTCTTTTACCCCATTTAGTTATGTAGCCCCACTGCAAGGCCCCCATCCACACCATGACATATTAGTGTCACAGCAGAGATCTGATGACATGCTAATCTTGGGATGTGTCCTGTAGAGGTCACAGCTGAGAGTCGCCCTGTCCTCCGCTCTGACACGACATACACCCCTCACAGGTTCCCGCTGTACCGCCTCTACATACCGCTCTACGGAGTCCCGGGCTCGCTCCGGTCCTATCTGCCCACTACACTCCGATCCCTCGTAGGGAAGGGGGTAAGCCCTACTACACGAGGACTGGGCGCACACAAGTGACGTTACCACAGCTGGCGGAAGTCATGCGGGTCGGGCCTCGCTGTGGCTGTTGCCT